GTGCAAGAGCCTGTGCAGCACAGGAGGGAAGGCATCATCCCAGACTGGGAGGACAAACATTTCCACAGCTTCTCCTGGGCTGTGCAGCACGGCTGGGGAACCTCCACAAGGGTAAGACCACCCACTGGGCCCTCAGCACACCATGATCCTACAGGACAGTGGCCAGAGAATCCTTGCCAAGCCCGTGGCACCCACTTCTGTTGGGTCAAGGGCAGGGTCCCCTGGTGCCACTAGTCCCTCCTCATCAGAAGTGCTGGGCTGGCTCAGGATCACACATCAGTACGGGCCAGGCTCAGCAGCTCCAGTGCCAGAGCTGCCCCCCACTGCCCTGCCCCTCATAAGATCCCTTCACAGGGCCAGGCACACAGCAGGAACTCGGTTTCCACTATCCCACATGCTGAAGGAAGATACTGAGTATTGTAGTGAGGTCAAACCACCTCACTTCCACAGCCATGCCACAGTGGAGCTTCAAGCTGAAGCTTTTATTGCAGACAGAGCTCCAGAACAGGCAGCAGCACTGCTCATTGCTCTGTCATCCAAGCAGCAAAGTCTCCAGGATCTGGCATGGCCAAGACCAGCAAACTCAAAGGATCTTTCACTCCACAACCTTCCACATTAGCTCCAGCAAGGGTCACCCTTGAATTCTCACAGTGCCAGATCCTCAAGCAGAGCTATGAGGAAGGACAGCAAAGCCTGAACTGCTCTCAGCTACCTCCCAGACATATCAAAGGGCATCCTTTGATTTTGGTGAGGGCAAAGCAGAGACCTAGTAAGGGAACCATTGAGTTTGGCCCTTCCTAACTTCCACAGGCACCACCAAAAACCCATTAATTCTGAGGCTAAGAAGGGAAGGTCCTGCTCAGCAGCTCCTCCGATTAGCAAAGGAGGAAGACTCATTTCTGAAGCTGGGTCTCATTTAATAGCCCAGGTAGCAGGAGAAAGAAGTTACCCCATCACAGGGACTAGCTGAGTTGGGATGTGTCTAAGAAACTTAGATTTGAAAGAGTGAGAAAGGAGAAGGAAGCTCCTTCAGAGGGTATTCACAGGCACCAGGACATGAGGAGATAATGGGGGGATTCCCACATCGCTCCTCCTTGTCAGAGCAACTCAGTGCTCAACTCAAGACCAAGAGGATGTCTGGGAACACATCAGTTCCCAGAACCCCTGTGTGCATGGTGACTCCAGGCTGTCTGCTCAGCCAACAATCTGTCACTGACAGAAAGCTGCAGCCAACACTTGGGGGACTTTTAGGATGCATGAAAACAGCTCTGAGGCACCATCCTGCTTCAGCCAGGCCAAGGGACAAGAATTAGTGAGTGGGGACTGTAACTACTACACCTTCATGTTCCTCATAGTGAAGAGCAGCATCAGAGGAGTCATCTGATTCCAGAACTTACACTAACCTTACTTGTTTGCAGCTGTAGAGATGGAATCCACACATGCACGAGGTATCTAGGTCCACTCAAGCAGAGATTACAGAAGTCAAGAGATACCTGGCACCAGTCCATGAAGTGCTACAGACATTCAGCACATAACACAGCCCGCTCACCAGCGGCATTTCCAGGCAGTTCCAGCAGCCCTGGAGTGCAGCAGCTAAGGAAAAAGGGATGGAGGACTTGCTACTGAGGAGGTTGTCTGGAAGCCAAGAGCCTTCTGCCTCTACAACACAGTTTTCTAACCCATAGCCCTCCATGGACCAATTGGGAAGAATCACAAAACTGTTTGGTTTAAAAGGAACCTTAAAGACCTTGTCTGCACAGGCAGCGACACCTTCCACCAGCCCATGTTGCTCCAAACCCTGTCCAACCTGGCCTTGAACACTTCCATGGATGGGACAGTCACAGCTGTGGCTCTGTGCAACCTGTGCCAGGGCTTCACCCTATCACATGGAATTATTTCTTCCTAGGATGATCCTCTTCAGCAGAGTTTAGCCAGGTCCTCACCTGGGCTCTCCCAGCACAACCTCACATTTAACACTCCACTTTCAGCAGTCCAGGACCCCCAAGCTCTGCCTCAAGAGCAGCAGCCACCACCCATGGAGCTGCAAACAGGCCCTCCAGACCAGCCAAGAGGGCACAAAAGATCACCACAGACTTCACCTGCTGGTTTGGGCATCTACACAACGGGCTCCAGGTTCCTCCCACTCCCGGCAGACCTACAACTTCCTGGTGACTTCCCAGGAGAGCGAGGACTAATTTCTAGAGTGGAACCAACATGTCTACATCAGGCACTCCAGAGAGCAGGGTGAACACACAGGGTTTTATTGCTACAGTACACAGTGTCCAGGGGAAGCATGGGAGCTCCTCCAGCTGCCAGAAAAAGCTCTGCCTGCCACAAGGGTGGGAGTGCAGCACCTAGGCAGCTGCCTGTCCCACACCACCCCTCGGGACTGCCAGGAGAGATGTGGCCATGCAGATTGGCGGCTGCCTGGAAAATTAAACAGAAGATAGCAGCAAGTGGGGAGGGATCCCGTTTGGGGAGGTGTCTGGTGAGGAACAGCAGGGACTGACATTAGGCCCTGTTTGTTTAACATTCCCGTTAATGACCTCGAGAGGAGCGAGAGGCATTCCTGTCCTCCGCATGTCACCAGCCAGGAAGCGGCTGCGAGATCCAGGGGCTCCCAGATAAGATAAAGGGAAAGGCTGAATTTGGGAGCTTCGCCCCGCTGCATCTGGGGCACCCAGGGCCCTTCTGCAGACGCTCGGGGAGGCAGTGAAGGAGGCACATGGGGGGGGGGGAATGGAGGAGTGTCTGCAGCGCCAGGATCTGGCGGCGTTATCCGTGCAGTGTGGGAAAATATTCCAGCACACATCTCCTGCAAACGGTGGGACTGAAGGACTCCTCTTTGCACTGAGCGTATTTGTCACTCTGTATCAAGGGGAGCTTCGGGGCAAGAATTTAGGCCCCCAGACCATGCTGGGATCCTGAACACAAAGGTCACTCCTTATGTCTCCATTAGCCTCTGCAGCTCCTGGTCAGCCAGGAGGTACTAGAAAAACCAGCCTTCAGAGCAGGCCACGGAGCCCAAACTGTGCTCAGCACCCACAGCATTATTTCTGTTGGATTCTGGTGGGGAAAGGACTTTCCAACAGCAATCCCACCAGGAACTGGGACATTATCCCCCCCACCAGTCCCAGCCTAACCCAAGGTGGCGCGTCTCTTGCAGCAGCCCTGGGTACAGGGTGACAGACAGGCCCAGCGAGGCCACAGACCATCCTGCAGGGTGGACAGCCCGTGCCCCTCCCCGAGGCTGCACAGCAGGAGCCCCTTTTGTCCAACCCCTGCCCACTCCCCAGGGATCCCATCCTTAACTCAGTTTTCTAGCCATCAAGCTCCACTCGTGGGAGGACCAGCTTCTCCAGAGGGTGACGATTTCCAGGCTCCTGAAATACCCCAGCTTTGCCAAACAACCACCAGGCAGTGGGGAACAGACCGGCTCTGCCCCAGCACTGGGACCTCACCCAACCACCACCTCTGAGGCACCAGCCCAGCTGGAGCAACACCACTGGGATGGGATGCACCGAGTGGCATCAACCTCAGGGAGCTTTGCAGGCCAGTGAATAATTGGATCAAGGAGCCACATGGAGCCTTCTCCATGCGCATGCACAGCCTGCAAAACCCCCAGGTAGCAAAGCTCCCTCCACCAGGAGCAGCACCAAGGCCCCAGGTGCTCTGGCACTCAGCCCACCCAAGCCAGTGCCACCCAGTGACGCCGGGACATCCCTCCAGCGGCATCCACATCCCATTGCATCATCCCATCAGCCGTGCCCTGCTCCACGCTGAGGACAGAACTGCTACAACCACCACCTGCCAATCCATTCCAGCCCATTACTCGGGTCCCCCTCGCAGGGGCCGCGGCCCACGGGACACGACAGCCCCAGGTCAGCCGGCGCACAGGCCCACAGGGCCCCGCTGGCTGCTGAGGCAAGCCGGGCGCCATGTTGCGGCGGCGCGAGCGCACGGAGGACAGCGAGGGGAGGGGACTGAGCACCTCCCCAGTCCTGAGGGCCAGGCACGGAGGACTGCAGCAAAACGCTTCCAAGGCCAGGCGTTTTCCAGAGCCCTCTCCAAGATGGAGGGCAGTAGTAACCCACTGTGCCATTACCTGCTCCAGGAGTGCAGCGATGACGGCGGCCAATGGCTCCAACAGCCAAAGTTCAGATGTGGAGGGCTGCAACCTCTAGCTTGTGGCTACAGACAGCCGACCCTTACCAGCCTTCCCAGCCCTAAATCCAGCAGCATCCAGGCTCTGGCTGGCTTGGCACCTGCGGGAAGGGGCTGCCGGCAGGTCAGCTCACAGTCCTCCAGCCCCAGCCAGGCTGCCAGCATGCGCAGAGCAGGGCAGGGGCTCCTCCACTATTGTCCAAGTGTTTCCCTTGCAGCCCACACGGGTAGAACAGTGCTGGATCCAGGAGCCCTCCAGCTACAGGGTCTTGGCATCAGGACCCCATGCCCACAGGCACCGGCTGCGCCGCATGGAAAGGGGGACCTGCCAGTCCTCTGCCCCACAGGGCTACAGGGACGCTATGCTGAGCAGGGGACTCGCCCTGCCCGGCCCCAGCCCCTCCTCGGGACAGCCCAGGGACTGCTCCCAAACATCTCCGTACTCTGGCTCCCACAGCCTGGCCCCAGTTTTCCAGCCCGCAGCAGCCCCGGCACCTGGGCTCCGCTTCCCCGACGACACCGGCTCCCCTATTCCCCAACAGAGGCGCGGCGCTCCTTCCCGGCTTTCCCGACGCGCCCCGGTTCCCGAGACCGCTCTGCTCCATCCCCAAGACCCCAGCCCCGGTTCCCCGAGACTGCTCTGCTCCATCCCCAAGACCCCAGCCCCGGTTCCCCGACACCCTGGCTCTCCAGCCCCGCCGCCCCGTCCCTGCTCCCGTCGCCGCTCCCAGTTCTCCGCCGCCGTCGCGAGGCAGCCCCAGCCCGGTCCCCGGCCCCAAGCACTCCGGTGTCCCGGTGCCGGCTCCCGGCTCCCTATCTCCCGGCCCGGCGCCCACCTCCTCCTCGACGGTGCCGCCGCTGTTGGTGTGCTCGGTGTCCTTGTTGAGGTTGCTCATGGTGGGGTGCCGGGGCGGGGGGTGGTGCCGGCTGCTCCGGAGCTCCGCGGGGCCGAGCCGGGGTGCCGGTGCGGTGCCGGTGTACGGGGGCGGTGCGGGGCGGCGCGGCACTGCCCTCCCGGCTCACATACGGCGTCCCGGGACGGCGCCGCTGTTTAGGGCCGGGCCGGGCCGGGCGGAGCGGGGCCGAGCGGAGCGCAACGAGCCGCAGCTGCGGGGCCGACGCGCCCCAGCCCCAGCCCCAGCCGCCGCTCCCGGTGCCGCCACCGCGCATCGAGCAGCGGGGCCGGGACCCGCCCGCCTGCCCCGCCCGGGGCCGCCCCCGGCCGCCGCCGCCGCCAATCCCGGCCCGGCCCGGCCCCCCGGGACCGCGGGGAGTTAGTTTTTTTGGTTGTTGGGCTCGAGTTATTTTAAATTTTTTTCCCCCTCCTTTCCATGAAAAACTTTGTCAACTTTGATGAACTTTCGGGTTTCGACTTTCTTAAAGGGCCCGCCGGGCTCCGATCTCGCGGCGGTGCCGTGCCGTTCCCTCCGCGCATCCCCGGGCCGGGGACACACGGCTCAGCCCCGCGGGGCTCCGAGAGCCCCCGGGCGGCACCTCTGTGACCCCCGATGAGAGCCCCGAGCCCCAAAAACAGCAGCGCTGAGAGCTCAGGACGGGGATCCTGTAACTCCGAGACAGTGGCCCTGAGAGCTCAGGAAAGCAGCCCCAGATCGGCCCCGACAGCATCCCCGGTCCCCTGGGGACAAGAGCCTGGTTCCTCCTGCCAGAGCAACCCAACCATCCTCACGGACATCCATGTGCGCCCCGCACAAAGCTCTGTTCTTGCGCCTGGGAGGAGGAGCAGGGTTCAGCCACAGAATCATGGAATCTGTGTGTGGTGTGGGTGGGAAGGGGCCTCAAATTTAATCTCATTTAACCCCCCTGCCATGGATAGGGACACCTTCCACTATCCCAGGTTGCTACAAGCACCATCCAACCTTGGCCTTGGACATTTCCAGGGATGGGCCAGTCACAACTTTTCTGGGCAACCTGAGCCAAGACCTCACCACCCTCATTATCCATCTCCTTTCCTTTCTCCCTGCCCACATGGGTGCCCAATTGGCCATATCCTAAAGCACAGCCTGCGGCTGGATAACATGAGGAAAAAATGCAGTACACAGCCTATTCCTCCATACAGCACCCCCCAGCTTGGTCCCTCTGCTAGGCAAAACTGTAAAACCCCAAGAGCTTGGGTCAACCTGCCAAATGAGAGATGTCCAGGGATCTGAGCCCTGTTATCTTAACCAGCATTTCTTGTGCCCAGCCAGTCCTGCTTCCCCAGCACTGAGGCCAGGTGGGAGAAACATCAGCCCTGCCCTGCTCTGGGCATCCCACCGCCCCCACCTGCACCACAAAAACCAAGTGTGTTCCCTGTCCTCCACTGGCCTGGCTGGAGACACCTGTGCTGTCCCCATGTCACTGAATGTCACTTCAAAGTCAAACTGAGCCCACACCTGGCTTTGAGTGACGGTTTCATTCCAGCAGGAGCTCAGGGGTATCTCCTGCACATGTGCATGTTGTGAAGAGGTGTGAGCCTGGCTGGGGGTAACCACAGCCGAGTTCCCACCACATCTGGGTCCACCGCCCTGTTCAAGCCCCAGCCTCTGACTCCATTTGCCACCTGGCTACAGAGAGGAGCCCTGTGCAAACATAACCCTAAACTCAGCCATCCCCACGCACATCATCCAGCACATCCCATGGCACTCCGGGTCTGGCACCAGAAAGGCAATACAGGAAACACCATCACTGAGGTGGTGCCCACAGCCAAGTGGGGCCAAGTAATTCCATCACAGGTGGTGTGTTGGAGGGGACAAAACATCCTCCTGGAAGCATCAGCTTTATGTTTCCCTGCTTTCTAGGTTGTGGGCTTTTAGCAGCAGCAGCTGTTTGCATGCAGCACATGCAGATTTTGTATGGAGTCCTCACACCACAGCAAAATGACCACTTCCTTTCCCAAGGCTTTGTAATGAGCTGCTAAGCCAGAGAGCCTTATCCCTGTTAGGTCCTGCAGGAGGGGAGAAAACTCCCACTTTTTGACTAAAAAAACCCAATCTATTTATTTAAAACGCTGTCCTACGCTTCACCTCCCAGCTCTGAGCACAGCAGGAAGAGTTCCCCCAAGCCACTCATGGAGTTCAGCATGGACAGATCCAGAACAGAGCAAGGACTTTCTCTGGTCTTCAGGGATACTGCCCTTCAGCATGACTTTGTCCCCAAGACTGGGGGACAGTCCCATAAGGCTATGCAAGAACAACTCCAGGAAGAGTGTTGCCTACCATTCCTCAAAGACTCTAAGAGAACCTGCCTTGACAAAGACCAGGAATATCTGCTTCCTGTGCTAATTGAGCAAAAACCAGTGTAACCTCACAGCACTTTCTCTGTGTTTCACTTTCTACAGACTTTGAGTGCGGAGCCTGAGGCAATTGGAGGAAGGCAGGAAAGGGTGGAAGTGAGGAGCAGCAGCAGGTTTTTATCAGACCCCAAGGATCTCCATGCTGCACACGCATGCAGAGGAGACATTCTGCCTCTTCCAGAGCAGGAAAACCCTGGCCACAAGTGGAAGAGTTTCTGTATCCATCACACTGGGGCAATAACTGTGGGTCCACCATACCACTACCATACTGATGGCCACAACCTCTGGTTTATTTTGTAGGCAGATCCATGGCACTAAGCTGGAGGTTAGCATCCTACTTGCACACCCACCCCTCAAAGCTGTGTGTGGTGTCAGCATCTCTACATCCCAGTATCCTGTGGCTCACAGTCCCTTTTATGTCTTCATAAACATCACACCCAGGGAGCCTCTCCCCTCCCAAAGCACTGCAGCAGGTGCTTCAACACATGGAGCCCTTGATGGTCCAAGCAGCTGCACACAGAGGGGATGTCTTCTCACCCCAGGAACTTAGAGGGATGGATAGAAGGTGGGACAAATTAAGCCAACTCTGCTAGCAGCTTGTGCAGGTGAGCTAGTCTACCAGAAAATGGTGATGTCCCTGCAGAGGTTTTGGCTGAGGGTTCCACTTCCATCTGGAAATGCTCAGCTTTAAGTACACGATCCAAGGTCACAGCAGCTGAACCAGCGCGGGAGCAGGTGACACTTCAGTTTGGACTTTGCTTACATGTATTTTTACACCAACACTTTTCCTCCCAAAGTATCTTCCACTCAGCAGCATCTGGCTCTGCAGTCTGGCACAGGGCTGCAGCAGAGCTTTGTCCTTGCCATAAGATATGACAGTTAGAACAGCAGAGGTGATGCTGCTACCCATCCAGCATCCACTTACCTCTCCCACATCAATTCCTCATCAGGGTGAACAAGTTGACAGTGAACCCTGTGATAACTTCCCACACAAGCAGCTCCAACCATGCTGTCCTGCCTGCAAACAATGGGAATGGCAGAGCCTCACCAGGGAAAAGGAGTAAAAGGTGTGAGGTGCTCACAACCAACAAGGTTGCTCTAGCAGGTCCTAGAAAGCGGGTTAACAAAGTACTTGAGACAGAAATAGGTTGCAATCAGCTGAGAAATCAAGATGAGACTTGAAACAACAGCCAGCTGTGGACAATCTTGTTTTCACACAGTTTCTCAGCTTTGCACTGTCCAAGGGCTCTTTCTCATTCTTCAACAGGTGACCAGCTCAGGGTGCTGGTTAAGGTGGTAACGAGGGATGTCTCTCTCCAGGTGGGCTCCTACATCCTGCCCACTCATTCTGTGATCCCAGACCTCCTTCACCCACCTGTAAAAAGGCAGTGGATTTTTCTTTTGGGCATCATGGTGACTGTCATAGGGGCCACTTTAGGCCCCTGTTTTAGCTGAGCCCGTCACAGGCAGTGCCAGACTTTGGCTGAGGTACTGGATTGTTTTTGCTGTTTTGCTGCTTATCTGGGACAATCTGAGCCCTGGCACTTGTCCCAGGACAGAGAGGATGCTCCCAAGCCACTTCCAATGTTTCTGAGGTATGGAGAACGGAGGAGTTCCTCTGCTTGACACTGGTACCAACTTCTCCTCCTGCTGTCCTTGTCCAGGAGATCCCACATCTCCCCAGATATCTCCTCTGCTGCTTTCCTCCACCCTCTGCCCATTCCAGCTGCTCTTGCCTCATGCTCTTAGTCTTTCTGGTTAATTATTCCAGACTGGGATTTGCTCTGCTGGCTGGAAAGAAGCCACCAGCCATGGGACATGGAGGAACACTGATTTGCAAGCAAGCAGTGAGAGCAGACAACACCCCGTCACTGCTCAGACCGGTGACATGCACATGCAAGCTGAGTGCTGGCATCACCAAAGACTCTTTACAGGGCCTCAGATGAATTCTCAGAGAACTTTCTGGCCACAGGCAGGCAAGGGCTTTGGGGCTGCTTTTGGTATGGATCAGCATCCAGACATCCGGAGACTTGTTACAGAGAAGGTGGGAAGAGACCTCAGAACTCACCCATCCGACATCCTGCAGGACTAGCACTGGGTCAGGTTGGTCCTGCCTTGAAAACCCCTAAGGATGGACCAACCCTGCCTCTCCAGGTGTCCATCCCAAGGCTGCACCATCCAGCAGGGAATCCCTAGCACCTGTCCTGACTCTATCGAGCCACCATGTGCGGCTGCAGCCCCAGGTTACATCATCTGCTGCCACTATCAAGGAAAGAAGTGTAACTCCAACATCTCTGTAACTTTGTACACCTCTAGGGAGGCGTAAACTGCAAACAGGCTCCTGTTCAACCCCTTTTGGCCAGACTAACCCAGCCCAGTTCCTTGCTGACCCCTCACCAGCACCTTCTGTGCTTCCCCCTCTCCCATTCTGCATCTCTGCCTGACACAAAGCCTACCCAGCTATTCCTGCCACCCTGCAGCCTCTTTTGGTCTATCTGTGCCCAAACAGCAGCGATGGCACTCGCTCAAGGCCAAGGTGAAGAGGAGCTCCCAATCCCTTCCACGTGTTTGGTTCCTTCCATTGGACCAAAGGCCTTGTGGCTACAACAGCCCTAAGCATCGCAAAGGGCAGAGGATAAAAGGTGTGGCAGAA